TGCAAGATAATGGATTTTCAAGAACTTAAGCTCTGATGACATGAATAGCTTTTAATCAATGTTTATACAGATGTGTTGTTATAACCAATCATTTACTTAAGTGCATGTATACTGAATTTGACTTTTTAAAAATTCCCAAATTTGCAGCAAGCTTCTATTGGGCCATTGGACTCTCTTTAGATATTAGATTTAATTATATTATTATGATTATTATTATTATTATTATTATTATTGTTATTATTATTATTATTGTCGTTATTGTTATTTAATAGAAATGGCAAAAGCGGCCGAGTCTGAGAATACTTCTCTATTGGAAAAAGTGAGTATAAACATTTACTTCTTCTTCCTCTCTCTCTGTCATTCTTCCTCTTATTGTTTTTCATATCATGTTTTTGTTGTTGTTGTTGCATATTTTACTCTCGACTCTCTGTTTATGCTTTTTCTCATTATTGTTATCCTTTTATTTCTTTGCAGCTTTTAATAAAAGTGTCGTCATTTCATCAACAGTTACCAGACGACCTGTTTAAATGGGGTCAGACAATGCTAAACAGCACGTTACTCAAATCCACTCAATTCGGAAACAGGCACGTCGTGTCCCTCCTCATCAAATTTGGAGCCAATAACTACAAAGAATGCATCGATTCATCTCGTCAGAACAACCACATAACGGCTTTTTTAAAGATATGTCAGGCAATTCTCGACGAAGAAGAAGATGTCATTGATATTTTATTAGCTCGTAACGATGAGGCCGTCGAGAATTACGACAAATACAGCGAATTAATAATTTTCCGTATCATACTAGCGCCTCTGCTGCAAAATGGTAAAATCAACATATCCACTGCTATTAACGTTGCCATGACAAGTGGCAAGTTATCCATGGCAGGTCGGATATTGCAGCACGTGTCTCATCATCCGAGCAGTGGGATCGTGGACTGGCATGACTTAGAGCTATCATATATAGACCCTCATTGGCTCCAAGGTCACGGGGTCAATTCCTTTACCTACGTCGGACTCTCTTCTAACCTTTTAAAATGCATTCCGGAGCAGATACTACGTTTTAATAATTTACAAAAAGTCCAGATGCATCACAATCGTATCACTGACATACCACATGAGCTCTTTTCGCTACCGAGGATCAAAGATATTGACCTGTCTTTTAACTTGATATCAGCATTGCCCTCGAGCATTCATTCCAACGTTGCCAATTCACTCCAGTCCCTCAATCTCTCTAACAACAATCTCACTCAGCTACCTTCTTATTTCAAACACTCTCACCTTCGCTCGCTGGATATCTCGTCAAACCTGTTTAGCAGCGTTCCTGATTGCCTCACAGTCATGGCCCATTTGACGACGCTAAACATCAGCTCTAACATTGGTATTGAGATAATCCCGTACGAACTAGGCAACCTCAGGCACCTCACATTTATTGGGATGCACCGTCTCCCTTACATTAAAAACATACCAACGGCAAACAAGAGCTCGCCCTTGGAATTCTTAAAATCACGAGCTCGTACCATACAGACCATCACTCACTATGACGTTATGGTGGTGTCTGCTAGCAACACTTCTCCACATATTGTTGAAGCTGTTTATAATGCAATCGATCGGCAGTCAAAACGAAAGCATTACTCCTGCCTTCAGTTTGATGATGACGCTCAATTTCAAATATTTCAACAATTCATGTCCCTCCCGTCCAGTATTTACGTTATCTTGTATGACATAGGAAACCCAAGCAGCCTCTACTCTGTTCTCTCTCATTTATTTCTTTACTCTTCTTCTCCTACGGTGATCATCGCCGCCTGTTCCACTGACCCTTTCATTAATGATGATCACGTTAAAATGCTCGAGCATCAAATCAAGCACTCAAATTGGAAGCAGTACAGAGAGAGAGTGACCATAGCCACGATATCAACTGACCAAGAGTCTCTGATAGGTCGGAGTAACAGCATTCACAGCCTGATTGAATTGATTGATCGAAAAGGCTCGTTTCGACGGACTACAGCAATAGTGCCAAACAGCTATAGCGTTTTGTCCGAGTATACCAAGAGTGAGGCTACAAGATTAATAGAGGATAACAAAGCTCCTATAGTCAGCTCATGGGACATGTGGGAGCTAGTGCGCTCCAGTCCTCATCATGATTTAGCCGGCCACAAGGAGCTATCGCTCGTTACGTCGTTCCTCCAATCAATATCATCAATACTACTGCTGCCTGCTAATAATAGCAACGAAAGGGATTGCTATGTCTTGAATAGGCAGTGGTTTGTCAGGGCTATGTCCGGTTTATTGAGAAATCATCAAAATTTAAGGATTGCCAATGGTCTTTATCCGGTACGAAATCTTTGTGATCTCCTCCACCCGTATTTTTCTACGGATATACCTTATGCTGTTTATACTGTGGCTAGCCTATTATCATTGGCTATACCTGTAACGAGTCATAACATATTAATCAAGAGCATGTTACAGTCTGCTAATAACGACCCGATCGCTTCCGATTTATCATCTCAGTATCAGATTCAACGTCTGTACAAGTTTGAGTCGCTCCCAATGTCTCTATGGCCTCGTTTACTGTCTCACTTATTAATAAATATGAACGGAATGATTAATAGACTAACTGAAGACAAGATGGGTGAGCAGCTACTCGAATCTTTTCATAATAATGCAGTGAATTGGAACTACTGGGCGAGTGGTATTATTGTTTGGATAAATGCGACTTCACTGGTCTACAGCATTGAATCAATTAATAATTTCTCACTAATCATTAGTGTAGCCAATACCCCGCTTGGCATACGAGCTATGAATCTCTTATCATTTACAATAAATACACTAATAATGAACTGGTATCCTCAGCTGTGGGATACAGTTTCTATCAACGGGATCTGCAGTGTCTGTTATTCGAATGACGAGTCCCTATCTTTATTTCCTATCAACGATTGTTTTAATTCCCTGACCAATGCAAGGACTCTTTCGTGTCCGAAAGATCACGAGTTATCTCCTGTTGCGATAATACCTGATATCTGTGATGAGGACTTTGTCATGATCTCTATGATCAAACTCAATGTTAACATCAAAGACATGTCGTCATGTCTAACAAGGCCTCCACTGGAAACCGTTTTTAAAGGTGAATATGGTAGCGTTCCGATAGCAGTGAAACCATACCCACCTCCAAACGACAGGAGCGCTAATAATCCTTTTCTCTCATTCTGGCATGAGATAACAACACTGCAATATGCCACACAGACAGATCAGTGCCCATACATTATCGACCCATTACTGGCGACTACCGATCCTTTTTCATTGGTCTTTAGCTTTGCCATGTTCTGTTCTATGGAGGACGTTATCTTAGAGCACACGATTAGCGTCTCTCCATTCCTAAGAATGAGGATAGTGTATCAGTTAGCCTCAGCATTGAAGACCCTTCACTCGTTGAAGATAATCCATCGCAACGTCTGCCTTGAGAATATCATAGTGTATTCACTGTCACTGGACGAGCAAGTTAACATTAAGCTAGGCGGATTCTCTCGGTCATGTCTAGAGATGTCACAAGGTCTGGCTGTTGGAGAGCATGGCCGCTTCCCTGCTCCGGAGATGAGTAATTATTTATACGAGTATGATCAGAGGGCAGACGTATTTTCATTTGCTTTCACATCGTATGAGATACTAACAAGAAAGAAGCTAAAGTGTCGCAAGGGAGTGAGATTTCAGACGGCAACGGGTAACGCTGATCGGCCTAATCTGAAACCGTTAAATGGACTTTGCCCGTACTTCACTCCATTACTGGACAAATGCTGGAACAACGATCCACACAAGCGACCCTATTTCATAGAAATACTCCACCAGTTCACTAAACCAATGCCGGTCCTTACAAGGGAAGGTTACTGCATCAACGAGACTCACGAATACAATGCATCTGCTGTGAGATACAACAGAGAATCAAATGGGACATTCTCTTGTGATCTATACATCTGCAGTAGCGTCTTAAGCATGAAGGACAGCACAGTCCTGACCCATCTCTCCATTCCTGGTTTCAAAACATTGAATAATACGTCTCTCCCTGCACAATGCATCGTCTGCATGGCCTGCACTAGGGAGTATCTCTGGGTCAGTTTCCAGCATAATTTTGTAAGAGTCTATTCTGCTAGTAGTCTAGAATTCATCAAAGAGCTGACATTCGATGCACACGTCCTTGTGATGGCTGTCAGTCCTGATTGCGTGTATCTTGGAAAGGAGGACGGAGAGATCCAAGTATTTAACTTGTCACAGCCTTCCCCGTTGCATGGGGCGTATAGAACTCGTGTCATTTCTTACCAGAAGCCGATCAAGTCTCTTCAAGTTTTAGATGACTGCATAATTTGCTGCACGAAAAATTCGTTTTATCGAGTCCATCCAAACACACTTCACGTGCTACAAGAGTTTCTACTCATATCGGAAACTGGAGTGAAGTCAGCTGTCGTTGCATTAGATCGTATGAACAACAATGAGTATTTATGGGTCTGCTTTAGGAGACTACAAGAGCTTGTTGTCTTTAATTGTGTCAAAGGGAAGGCTATATACGGTGTAAACTGCTCTCAAGTTATCGGGAAAGATAGAGCTGAAGTGTGGATTACCTGTATTCAGGTAGTACTTGATACTGTATGGGTTGGACTTAACACTGGACACATTTTAACATTCTCTGCATATTCTCTGACGCCACTACTTCTCACTTACTTCAAACCACACAAAGAGAACATCAGGCAGCTCGTGCTGCTGCAGCCTTCGTATTGGAACCCTGATGTCCACAGCAAGTTTTACGACGATGAGTCTGTTACAACTGACAGTGACTGTGGGACTGTGCCTTTCTCTCCAATCAGCGGTACCTATGGTGGATCGGTTCCAAGTAATCCATCACTACCAGCTCAAAATGTTGTAATACCTGAAGTTTGCTCTGTCCTCTCTTGCGGGCAAGGTGTGTACAAGCCGATCCCAAAGATAAGCGAAGATGGTATTCTATTGCACGATACTGACCCTGTTAATGGATTATGTGTTCTGAAAATGGACGGGCCTGATGCCTCTGGCTGCATTAAATTAGAATGTCAAGCACAGCGACAGTCGCGTCCTTATATGGCCAATTATAACGAAGCCTTGTACACGAATGTATCGAGGGCAACTTCATTTAACGAGTCACATCGTCTGTTGCCGCCCACTCCTTCAGTTAATAATGAAGCCACGCCCAACGAGCTTTCATCTGATGTTTATGAGTCGATAGTGCTTAGTCCAAAACATGATCCAGAATTAGCTGATTTCATATGCATAACTCCTAGTGACGTACCATCTCACCTATCTGATGACACACCAGTCCCCAGTAGGACCCATTCATTTGTCAACCACAGTCCCATTGTCGCACCAGTGTCACCCGGTTTCCAACCAATGTCCCCCAGTGTCCAACCAAAGTCCCCCGGTGTCCTACCAGCATCCACCAGTGATCCACCAACGTCCCCCAGTGTCCAACCAACGTCCCCCAGTGTCCAACCAAAGTCCCCCGGTGTCCTACCAGTGTCCACCAGTGATCCACCAGTGTCCCCCAGTGTCCCGTTACTATCCCCCAAACCGCCATTGTCCCCCAGTGCTCATCAATCATCAGATAATGATCATGATGATGGATTACCATTGACAGATTCAGAAGATGAAGGCGAAGGTTATGTACGCATGAAAAGTGCATCAGTTTCTCAACCACCAAAGGCTTACAAACCTCTTCATAAATTTCTTGATAAAAGCAGATCTCTTCCACCTGCTAGATATCAGCCTCTGGGTCTGTTAGAAAGGTATGTGCTATTTTACCTTAAGCCTACTATTTTTAGCATCTACTAAATTTAGCTATATTAGCGAGAGAGCTTTAAATCGCTAAATTAAATAGACGCCAAAATAATTATTATTCATTATAATGGTTATTATTTATAGTTAATTTGGTTAAAAACGCTAAAATTAGTAACGCTAAACATGACTTTTGCTGATTTCGCTAAAATTAGTAGATGCAAATAATAGTAGGCTTAAGGTAGTTTTATCAATATAGTATTCAGCGTTTCCCACAAAGCATGCTAAGTAAGTTAAAAGGCATGCTACTGATAACCCTGATTATAATTATTATAGTTTATAGTACCAATATTTATTTATATTTTAATTTTTTTCAGTACTGATTCTGGTGATTCTATTCCAAGTAATCCGTCGTCACCAGCAAAAAAATTAACGCCGGAAAAAAAATATTAATCAATCAAATAAACAAGTGAAATGTTTGACAATTAAAATACATGCGCTATGTGAAAAAGTATCATTTATTATTATTATTATTATTATTTTAAGAGTGTTTTACCATTCTCAAGTCCTAAAGCAAATAAATATAATTTACTCTCAATTTCAATGTCAAATTTCTCTTTTAAACTCTGTAATGACTTTAACAAGTTTTGAAGTGATAAGTAAAATGCCTACAGCAACGATTACTATTATTATCTATTAATATAATTAATTGCTAACTTCAATATATTCATCATCATCTAACGACTGTTTGCCAGCGTCATCAGTAATTGACACTAAAAATAAAAATAATAATATAATATAATAATAATTATTATTATCATTATACTTTGAACTAAGATTGTGTTTTCGGTGCTTTTCCATGGATCGCAATACACAGGTACGCTAATATTCTGTGGTCGGTGTGCATTAAATAGAATAATACCGAATATTATTTATTATTATACCTCAACCTTTCCCTCGTGTCCCGTTTCTTCTCTTAACTCTCTCTCTCCGGCCTCTGACGGTTCCTCGTTCTTATCGATAAGACCAGATGGAAACTCAACACATATCCTGTTATATGAGTATGATGTCATTATGATTGCACGTAGCAGGGATAAAGCCACACCCACTTATTGATTGGCGGACGATAGACGGCAACTAGCAATATCCTATCCTTATCTTTTTGAGTTGCTGCAACAATAAAGATGATGATAATAATAATGATGATGGATTATTACCAATAATATCAACGGCATCGGCTGTTCCTTTTCTAGTGGTTCGCTCCACAGTTTCCCAGACTCTAGTCTCTCCTTTTAAGCTGTAATGAATGTGTCCAGCTCTTATCCACTTCCCATCGAATATCCACGAGCATTCTTTCGATTTTATATCCCTCTCTTTATTGGACATTAGTCTCTGAAACTGTTTTTCAACAGTGCTAGATAACACCTCATCTTTAGCCGCCATGTTGAAGGTTAAAATTTTATTCATTTAGGGTGTGGTCAAGTTAGAAAATACTCTCGCACACCCTCCGTGTACCTCCGTTTACGTCTACCACGCTTCACAACGTTGGAGGGCTGTCAATAAAAGCGTTGGTTTTCTCTCCTCAGTTTCCAGAAGTCTAGCTAGTCTTTCAGCGATGTCTAAACTGAATAGGAAGAGCGTCTCCGAATGGCTCGATAGCAACGAAGAAATAGGCAAAGAGATAGTCGCCAACTTCTTAATGAAGCGGCCAGTATTCTGGAAAGAAATGGTGGAGCAGCAGACTCACCACACTGTTGCATCCCGCCGCCTCACTCTTCACAGGCTTAGCATAGCAGGAGCTCCGGGGCCTCTTCTCCCTTTTGCAGGAGACTGCGAGGGCATCACTAGCTCTGGAGTTAATATGAAAAGGTTTACTAGTGGCCCTATTATGATCCCCAAGAAGTCAAAGGACCAGCTTAGAAAGCTCAACAAACAGGACTTGTTCATGGAGCTATTGAAAGATGTCATATCTCCCGAATTTGACGTGTACAGCCTGAGTCACAAGATATTAGTGAACGTCCTGTTGCTCATTGATGGAGATCGATCATCTCTGTTCTTTGTTGAGGGAAGCAAGGAGAATCCTATACTCATTTCCCGATTGTTTGATGTTACTGCACATTCACAACTTGAGTCTGTGCTCCACGATGATTCTGAGGCAATAAAGATCCCGTTTGGCGTTGGGATCGTTGGACAGGTTGCCAAGACTGGAGAGCTCATTAATCTCAAGGATGCTTACGATGTAATTCTTAAAAGTTGCTTTTGTTATTAGTATTTTTACTTTCATTATTGTTTTACAGAGCCCCTACTTCAACAAAGAAATTGATAAGCTGACAGGTTACAGGACAAAAGCACTTCTCTGCATGCCAATAAAAACCTCATCAGGAGAAGTGAGCTTATGCAATTACATTTTAATACTATTGATGTTTCTTGCATAGGTGATTGGTGTTGCTCAAGTCATGAACAAGCATAACGATGGAGAATTCACTGAAGAAGATGTAGAGGTACTTTTACTAGAGAGAGTGGGGGGCTTGCGGGAGAGCTGCAGGAAGAGAGCTAAAAGAGACTGCGTTTTTTTAGTAACATATTTAAGAATGATAAGAATGCCAAATAAGCTGATGCGTACATGTACATATGTACTAATGTACACTATTAGTCACTTAATGTACGAATGTGCACCTCGCTGTTAATGTACGAATCTGCACCTCGTCGTTACTGACTGTTTTTATTAGGTTTTCAATACATACATGACATTTTGTGCTATCGGTTTGACGAATTCACACTTGTTTGAGTTGTCCTTTACCCACTCACGAAGGCTTCAAGTGAGCAATTTAAAATGAAACGAAATTAGATTTTCTTTTGAAAGATGCTGCTAGAGCTAACAAAGAAACTTTTTGAGGACACTACGTCAATGGAGGAAATGATAGAGTGCATTATGTCCGAAGCACTGAAGCTCATTCCGTGTGAAAAGTGCATTGTCGTTGTTGTGGACAAGAAAGTATGCAACATAGTAATAGTTACTATTATACTCATTATTGCAGACTGAAAATGATGTTACATTCAAAATAGCAATCCAGTTTAACGGGAAGGAAACGGAAACATTGACGTAATATAAAATCTAACCATCTCGATTTTATCTTCCTCTCTCCTTCTCCCTCTTTCTCTTTCTCTCTTGCTTTTACATTGTTTATTATAAAAAGCACTATTGATCCTGAGCATATCGATGGCTATGATGTTATCATTAAAGTTGCCCAAACTTGTGAAGTATGTTACCCGACCATTCTAACAAGTGTAATACATTATTTTTGTTGATTAGCAAATAATAACAAATGACGATGGCGCCCAGCAGTCCAAGACTACCCTCTCCATTTCATCAAACTCCAATATGCTGTGTATGCCAGTATTTAATGACAAGGGGGACCTGATGGGTAAGAGTTACCATGCAGTAGATCCTGAAGTAGTATCATTCCTTGTAGCCATTGTGAAGCTGGATAACAAGTTGAACGGTCTGCCATTTAACGACATGGAGCAAGAGTCCTTCCAAGTCTTCTCAATGTATTGCGGACTGGCGATACACAATGTGCTCAACTATGAGAAAATCAAACGAGCAAATGCAAAGCAGACTGTTGCCCTAGAGGTAAGCTCAAGTTGTTCTTATAATGACTATAAAGGGAATTTCTTTCTATTTTAACTGATTCATATACCCTTGTCCTATACATACATGTACACATGTATGTACATGTATATTGTATTTAGAAAGTTTGAGCCAATTCTGAGTACAAATTTTGGCCAAAAAACTAAGATTAATAATACTTGTCATTGATAATTGTTACTATTATTGTGCAGGTGCTATCATACCATGCTGCTGCTTCACTGGACGAAACGGAGCGTTTAATGGTAAGCATCTATTAGCATTATAAAGTAACCATCATGCATGTATTGCTAATACTAGTCTATGAGTATACAAAATATCAAAGATGCTGAGTTAGTCTCCTTCACATTTGATGACTTAAAATTTACAGACGATGAGACGGTCCTTGCATCTGTGTTGATGTTCAAAGAAATGGGCTTTACTCACAGATTCCACATTGATGATAAGGTAAAAATAAACATTAATTGTTATTCCATTGATAATATTGTTGTGTTAACTTTATTTTCAATTGTAGTCATTATTTCGTTGGGTTTTGACCGTGAGGAAGAACTATAGGCCAGTTCTGTATCACAACTGGAGGCATGCTTTTAATGTAGCACAAGCAATGTTCACAATAATGGTAAGTGCATATACACATTTTCCTCATGCTATTGACTATATTATGTACATGCATATAACAGTCAGGAAGGATTGGTTGCCAGTTCACAGATATTGAGAAGCTTTCGTTGCTTATTGCATGCTTTTCACATGATCTAGACCACAGGGGAACCAACAATGCTTTCCAATCAAAGCAAGCTCTCCAATTCTCACTCTTTCTCTTAGCCTATTTTATGTATGTAACATGTACTTTTATTATTAATAATAGGATAGAGAGTCCATTGGCTCAGTTATACACTACTAGTACTATGGAGCACCATCACTTCAATCATTGCATCATGATACTCAACTGCGACAGTAACAAACTGCTCCAGAATGTCTCCTCAGAAACTTACGAAAAGATAATTCGAGTCATTGAAGATGCAATCCTTTCCACTGATCTATCACTCTATTTCAAGTAAAAATGAAAGAAATTTTTGTATTTAAATTTGTCATCAAATGTGCATGTTTATACAGAAATAGAAGCAAGTTTTTTGACATGATCAACTCTGGTGAGTTTGACAGTTCTGATGTTATCCACAGGGACCTTATGAGGTATTAAAATGTACTAATTACAGTATTACTAATAGTCATTGGTCAATCAATAGAGGAATGCTAATGACGGCTTGTGACGTTGCAGCTGTTTCTAAGCCATGGCGAATTCAAAGAAGGGTACATTAATTGAGTTAATTATTATTATTATTGTTTAATAATAATTGCTAGGTTGCTGATTTAGTGATGAAAGAGTTTTTCCAGCAAGGGGACATGGAGAGGGAAAACTTGAACATGACACCAGTGGTAATAGCAATTAATAATTATTATTGCTCCAAAATTTTGGCCAAAGTCCCTGTACATGTACCAACTCTGGCCAAATTTTGTCAAAGATGAAAAATAGAGCAATTCTCCATTTTCATAATTTTTTCCTGATACATATACACTGTGCATGTATTTAGTGGGCGTAGAAAGTTTGAGCTGATTCCAATCAAATTTGGATTTTTAAAATGAATTTCTAATTATTATTATTAGGCTATAATGGACAGGAGGAAGATTGATGAGCTGCCACAGATGCAGGCTGGATTCATAAAAGGTGTCTGTCTTCCCCTATACAAGGTAACAACTACCCTATATTAGCATGGCAGAGCCAACTACTGTACAATATTCTATATGTACATGTAGGTGCTAGCAAAATTTAGTCCCGAGTTCTTACCAATGGCAGATGGAGCTCAGTTCAACCTTAATGGTTGGGAAGAAAGAATAAAAAGCCCTGGTATAGATCGTAAGCACATAAACCATGCTGAGTCTAAATTATAAATAATAATAGATAAATATTTCGTGTGTTGTTGTCCTTTTAGGTCACGGATCCATTTCTGTTTCCCACCGATCCATGTCTATCACGCCCTCTATCACAGAATCCACACCCATTCCTGCCAGCGCAACAAGTACTGTGAATCAGAGGCTTGGATTGATTGAGGCGTGGGTTGATCACACTCAAGATGAGAGGAACACCACTCGTCGTAACAGAAAGTGCAATGTACTTTAGTTGCACTGTCATAAACTCATAGACACTTTAAAAGATACTATATCTTCACACTCAGACACTTTAAAAGATACATGTACTATGTATTCACACATAGACACTTTAAAAGATACTACTGTATACATGGGTATTCACCTTTTGTTTAAATAATCATGATTGCCCTTCCATTACACTTATTACAAAAATAATAAGAATTGTTATTAGCAATGTCATTATTGCCATCATGGCGATCATCAGTCCATGGTAGCGTCCGTGCTTGTTGATGCTTCCGTTGTTCCATTAGCGTCTTTTCACTGAATGAGAGGTGTGGCAGGCCTCTACTAGTGGGCGTTGTCTCCTTTGGCACCGGATACAATAGCTATTAATAATTATCGTAATTATCATGTTCTACTTAATTATTGTTTTTACTTTATGAGCTAATTTTTCCCCTTCAGTGAGTGACGTATTAAGAGATAGCAACGAGGGCATGGGCGTGGCTTCGTGCCTTGCACTTATTTTATCGGAAATCATTTGAACTGCAACGCTAGTGTTTTTAGCCAATTCTAATACGTTGCACCCTAACAACAAACAATAAAATAAACAACAACAACAAACAAAATAAACAACAACAACAAACAATACAATAAACAGAAACAACAAACAATAAAGTAAACAATACCTTGATGAATAGGCTGTAACTGTACAGGAGTCACTGTTGCTATTTTTATCCCACTAGCAGTGCTATTAGCTGTCGAGCTAGTACTCATTAATTTTCTACTAATATTATTGACAAGTTGGTGTATCGCTTTGATATGGTTCATTAGCTGATCCCTTTCATCAAGCAATGTCTGTAATGTATTGACTGATAGGTGATAATGATTCCCCTTCCATTCTCTCAATTCGTCAATGAGTAACCTACTAGCAAGTACCTTACATTTCCATACATCACATTCGATCGTAAGTCCCTCGATTTCCTCGTTCATCTCCATTAGCTCTGTTATTGAGTGATTTAACTTGCTTTCTAAAGTCACCTTATCCCGTATTAGCGTCTCTATCTCTGTGCCCATTTCACCGCCCACTGACGCTAATAGTAATCTCTTAAGCTCTTTCATGGCCTTGTTTTGATCCTCTATCATTCGCTCAAGTTCAGTAATGTCCCGATGAGGAGAGAGGCGAAGAGAGGAAGGTAAAGTGGACCGTGTTCTTGTAATCAAAGGTGTACTGGTGATCAGTGGGTCACTCCAGGAGACATCAGTCACCCTATTAATAACAACAAAAATAATTAATTTTTTAATTTTATGGACCAACTTACTTGTACTTTTCATATTTCTTCTTTGATATGAGATCCTGTGCTTTCTTTAAGTACTATACCTCCAATAAAATAATGATAAATTATAAAATAATGAACCTTTTCTTTGAGAGCTTGCTTTCTTCTTCTACAACTTTCCATGATAGCCCTATAAGCCACACCTAATCATGCGTGGGAGTAGAATATTCAGCCACACCTTCTGCGTGGGAGTAGAATTAGCAGCCACTCCTTTTTAAGCCACGCCTATTAAAGAAGGAGTCAATCATGTTTGGAGGAGAGTTTGTTATTCCTCTCTTTTGGGGAGTAGTACTGACCCTCTCTCTAGAGATACTTCTCCTTTTGCTTTGGCTGAGACGGCAGCCTGTGACCACGCCCTCAAAACAACCATTCCCATCATTTAAAAGAACCAAATCACCAGAGGTCAGTTGAAGTTGATCACGTGATCACTGGTTGCTATATCACACTAGGTTTTGCAAGACATTGATAAGAGCCTAGAGTCGTGTGATTGGTTTAATATAATAACCGATTTCCTTTATCAAGAACTTAGGGACACAGAGACTGCAAGACGGTAAGAAAGGGAGACGGAAACGATAATAATAATAATAATAGTAATGGCAATAGTAATGATATAAAATAACGCTAATAATTAATGATTGTTGATTAATAGATTAATAATGAAGCAAATAAAGAAGGAGTTTAAGGAGCTACTCCTCACAAAAACCGAAGGGAAAATGTTTGATGAACTTAAGGTCCGTGAGTACAACATGGGGGAGTCCCTGCCGATATTCAGTAATATTGAATTGGTGGATGTAATTAGAGATAGCGAACTTCCAAATAAGAGGATAGAGGTATATCTGTATTGGTAACAAACATTATTAATGAGTGTATAAATTATGTTAATTTTAGTTGATTGAATTTAATTGTTCAGTGGACTATACAGGATCATTTGAAATTGGTATAGACGCAGTAATGGTAATCAAATTTATTATATTTTATTTATTTATGTTTATTTATTTTGTTAGATGTTTGGTCGCTCGGCTTACGTGTCGATTCAGCTCCGTCAGCTAAAGGGGCGGGGCCGATTTCAAATGTCCAGGAGCCCGTTCAATCACTGGTCGTTTGCTTTCTTAGAAGAGCCTCAAGTGGAAGTGATAGTCACAAGTCGATTTGAAGGAAGGAGCCTACCACGCCTCTCTGCATTCTTAGAATCACAGGTCTATTAATATTAGTAATTAATATCAAATCGTGAGAGAAATTGATTTTTATAGTTTAAGAGATGGATTAGGAGAACTCACACTTTACCTAATTACAAAGTTCGTTTCAAACCGTTTTTCAGGAAATACAAATATCACGACCAGTTAAATGATGTAAGAGAAAGGGGGAGAGAAATTATTGCACTAATACTACCATAATACTACCATTACATTACATCATTTATTGAGATATCATTACTTTGAATGATGTATAATGCATGTAGGTATACTTGCACAATGAGATGTTGACATCAGGAGGTTTAGAAGTTAAAGTTGTGGAGTGCAGCAGGTTGAGATTAGTCGATATTGCAATTGATGTCTACTGTACTTTATCTATAGGCAAGCACTATATACAGTTATCATAATTGTACTATTATTATTATTATTACTATTATTGTTATTATTAATAGATGCTCTGCCACAGGAGCCATTGGTTGGCCTGTGGAAGAACGTATGGCCGTATCACGACTTTCTTGTTTGTAAGTTGCATCCTTACCAAACAATAGGAATGAAATATAAACTGGTAAATAAAAAAATAAAAAAGTATAAGTTATTGTTCTTCTTATTTATAGTTTTATTTGGAAGAGGATAGAGGTAGCTTTGTTATAGTATCGGAAGTGTACGATGGATCGCCAGCATCTGAGGCTGGTATTAAAAGAGGAGACATACTTACTAAAATTGATACCGTGAAGATAACCACCGTCGAACAAGCAAAGAAGATAATAAAGACTCTTGCAACTGCAATAAAGTAACCGTGACTGCTAATACGTATGAGAGTTTTCATTCTTTGCAGTAATAAGTAATTGTTATGCTAATTGTTGTTAATTGTTGCAGTAATAAGTAAATGTCATGTTGTTCTTATAGGATATTGATTACAGTTCAAAGACCAACCACTGACTTATTGAAGCATTTTGCAAAAAGGTAAGCATCAAATCCCCATCATTATTGCATACATATATGTATATGTACACTGTATTATGTACATTGTGTAATGTCATTATTACAATTGCGTACATATATGTACATAGTAGGGGGAAATCAAAGAGGTCATCACATAAAAGTGGCACTAATGTTGGAGAAAGAGGTACATGTATACACAGAGTATGGTATTATAAGCGATTCTTTACTTATTATAATATAAGGATTAGAAGAATTTGAACACATTCAGAGCACAAGCGATGATATTAGTAGTCTAGGGGGTGTGGTCAACAGGAGAATAATTAGAGGAGGACGAGCTCAAGCGTCAAGTGCTGAAGGAACTGGAGAAAGTAATTATAAGTTAATCCATTACTAATAATCATGTTGGCCTAGTTAATGAACCAGTTCATGAGCCAGCTAGTGAAATATCAAGTAGCGAAAGGACAAGATCAAACGAGGGCAGGCCTCACGTACGCTTGCCTAGACAGTACAAGACAAAACCAGTGGCAGTTTCACAAGTACGCCGACATTTTAATATTACTTTTTATTTGCTTAATTAGAATCCTGTCTGGGATGAATTATTCAACTTTGAAGTATCGTCGAGCGAGTATCGCTATCTCAACGTTTGTGTCTGGTCTCACCTCAAAGGTGAAGAGGGAGATATAATGATTGGATATGTAAGACAAAGACATAACCCACTTTTAATGACCATCCTTAATAACTACATGTACATGTAGGTGTCTATATCTCTGACGGATTTAGCGATCGAGTGTAGCTTAACTAATTCAGGGACTCATCAGCAGAGATACGTGCTAGTACCAGCAAAGTTATCTAAAATAATGACAAGGTATTAGTTAGTATTAAGGCAGCTACAGTACTGCTCAGCTATAAGTTTTCGTTTAGTAGTGATTAGTAGTTTAGTAGTGATCTCCAGCATTATCTGTGTTCATAATAACTACACTAGTGCACCATAAAACGAGATAAGCACATGATGTACATGTTAAATACGGAGTATTACAGGTGTATCTTCACTAGTGCAGTTTGGATGCATAGACAAGCTGTACCCGTGCCGTGTACAGGATAAGTAAGCTTATAGCTGAGTGGTACCGTAGCTACAGTAGGTTCTCACTTCTTAGTATAACAAATTCCCTGACACGTGTTAAAATTTAATGGAAAATGATTCTTACATGACACGTGTGAAAATTTAATTGAAAATGATTCTTACGTGGCACGTGTGAAAATTTAATTGAAAATGATTCTTACGTGGCACGTGTGAAAATTTAATTGAAAATGATTCTATTCTTAACACGTGACACCATTTGCTTCTATTACACTTTCAAATTCATGCGAATTGTGAAGCAATCAAGTGCCTCCATGTGTCAAAATGTCAGAATCTATTCTGACATTCGTGACACATGGCACCATTTGTTTCTATAATTTTATAACACTTCCAAATGGGTGTGAATCAATGCACCATATTGGGATTGAGAATCTGCCTTTTTAGTATTAGTATTGTTTTTGTTGTTATTGTTGTTGTTATTGTTGTTGTTGTTGTTATTATTATTGTTTTTTGCAGTCGTGCTGCTCTTAAAGTTACCTCGGGTCATACAGAGCTACCGGCTACAGCAAAACTGAATAAGATAATCGGAAGCAAGAAATACGTCGGAGATATCACACTTCAGTTTAGGCACACGCCCACAGAGACAGACCATGCCCACTCAACGAGTAGTAGCAACAGGAAGAGAAAAAAGAGAAAAGACTCGGAAGTATGGGCTATCAACTTTTATTAATTTTAATTGCTTTTCTTTACAGAACGAAATCGAGACTAGTAAAAAATTGTAAGTTACAATGATAATAATAATAATAATAATAATAATAATAATAATGTGTACATGTATCTACATGTATTTTTAGTCCTACGAAGCCATTTACAGCAGGTGAAGGCTCCGACCACCCATCAAAGCATATTTTCGATCCAGTGGATCTCAAAATCAGTGAAAAGAAATGTTTTATTTGTCACGACAGGGTAACGAATAGGAAGATACATGTAGAAAAGAGATTATAGCTTGTTTTATTTACAGATATGGAAACAGGCTTGGAAGTGTAAGAGGTGTGAAATTGTCACTCATTTAAAATGCACCAACTACTGCAAGAAAATGGTACCATGTCACAAAGAAGGGTAAGGTTACTATGGTTATGGTGTGTGTTACCATAGTCACTACAGGGGAGAAGAAGTCGAAGAGAATGTGTTATTAAGTGTTGATGAATCCAGTAATGCAACAGTAAGATATTCCATCGATCAGGAATGGGCACTGCTTGAAAGAGAAGAGGAAGAGAAAGAAGAATATGCTAGAGAGAGAACCATACTAGAAGAGAAAGAAGAAAGCTACAGTCACGCAAGAATGTTATATAGATCTGTCAGTGAAGGTATCGTTATTATTACTATAGTGGCAAGCATCATGTACATGTTGCCATTTTGGGAAAAAGCATGGGCTATAGTTCAGGGGATTTTTCAGAAATTGGTCGATTTTAAAAATGGCCATAACTCGAAAAATTTAAGTTGGAATCGGCCCAAACTTTCTACATAGCATAAGGACATCATTATATTTCAGAAAATGTAATAAAAATTGAGGGTGATTTCGGAGCCATTTTTTGGAAAAAAGCATGGGCTATATAGTACAGGGAATTTTACAGAAATTGGTTGATTTTAAAAGTGGCTATAACTTGAAAATTTCCAGTCAGAGTCAACTCAAACGTTCTCTACATAGCATAAGGACATCAATATGTATCAGAAAATGTAATAAAAATTGGAGGTGATTTCGGAGCCATTTTTTGGAAAAAAGCATGGGCTATAGTACAGGGAATTTTTCAGAAATTGGTCGATTTTAAAAATGGCCATAACTCAAAAATTTGAAGTCAGTTAATGATTATTATTCATTTTTGTAGGACTAGTTACTAAACAAGATGGTAACGGAGCAATTCTTGAATCAATTGATACTGATACTGGCGGTCAAGATGTAAATGACACCTATATTCATGTTCTTTGTTAATTTATTATGAATGATGCCTAGGTAACACCTCCTGAGTCTGATAATAGTTCAACTGATGATGAGCATAAAGACCTTGAATCTCTTACTAACGATGCTACATGTGTGTCACATGAGACTGGATCACATGATAAAGAAGAGGATGAGAATTTAAGCGAGTTGCTATTGGAAGGTTATACTGAAGAAGAATTGATGGAGAAAGTAAAATAATTATTAAGAATAATATTAATGGTGTTCAACATGGCCTTCTAAATCTTTTTCTCTTTTGTTAGATTAATATGGCTCAGAATTCTTTGGATCTGCTTGCAACTCAGAAAAGGGAGCTTGCATCATCATCTGAAACCAGCATGACAGAGGAACTAAGAGAACACTTACTAGTAATGATTAATTAATAATTAATGTTTATTTTTCTTATTTCTACTAGGCAAAGAATGAAGCACAGCAAGAAACGACTGAAGAACTTTTAAAACAGCAAAAGAAATTATTAGAAAAATTATTATCATAATATTATTATATTATTCGTTTTTTTCGTTTGTGTGTGATTTTTGTCTGAAGAAGATTTACGTTTTGAAAACAGTGCAAGTTCAAATGAGCCTTTAACTGACTCTAGAAATTATGCATTAAAGACAGATATAGCTAGCATTTTACCACTAGAATGCAAGGAGGCATTTATTACAAGTAATATTCTCTTGCTCTTAAAACTTTCAAAACCAGAAACTTTATTAATGTTTATAAATTATGATAGAAAATTTTCCCCTTTGATACATGTATGCTTGCTATTATTTCTGTAGGTCCAGTGTCAGTAAAGAGTCCACTATAGCCTCAGCAAGGGATAAAAGTTTAAAAGGCTTGTGTTCTGAAATCTCCAGAGCATGAGGTATGGAGTCTGTGATCCAGAAGTTTGAGAATGGGACTGGATCTTTTGATGTGAATTTCTCCCATGACCTCTCGGGGAAGACAGGATGAGTCACAAAGAGACTAATGGCCGTAGCTCCTTGAGACTGTAATACCTGAAAAAGAACAGTATATTCCAGTAAAACACAGTATATTCTAGTAAAACACAGTATATTCTAGTAAAACATAGTAAATGTTAAATTTGTGAATTGTACAAATACATGTACGCCTTCTCCCTTTAGTATACTTCAGTATATTTCAGTAAATTATTTGTATACCTTAGAGCACTCAATAAGTGTTCCCCCAGTCTGTACAAGATCATCAATGATGACAACATGTCTACCAGTAGGATCACCTGTTAAATGCACATCAGTAATCTTCAGTATACTCCAGTATACTATGCTCACCTTCCTTGATTATTACATGCCTCTCGTCCCCTTGTCTCGTCTTTATGCACATTATCAACGGCCAGTCACGAAATAAGGAACTAAATCGTTTGTGAGCTCCGTCATCGGGGAACGCTATCGCTAGGTTACCATTGTCGGGGAGCTTCTTCAACTCCTTGATGAGGTAAGGTATTGCTGATAGCAACCTGTAAGTAAATTTTCGCATTTTAACTTCAAATTTAGCTCCAAAAAAGGAATCATGATATTATATCGTATAGTGGGAAATTTTGGAGTGAATTAAATTTGGCAAATTGGCGTTTTGATAGCCATTCGGCAAAATAAAAAATCCGCCATTTTGAGCCATTATACGCATGCTCAATGGCATGTGGCCAAAAACTCACAAAATTAAAATCTTCTAATCACCCAAAATTTAGCAATTCGCCAAATTTTACTCCCTCCAAATTTCTCGCTACACGGTACATGCTTTACATGCATATTGTGTCCATATACAATCAAGAGTACATGTATCTATTCTTGATACAATGTACATGAAATTTAGAAAATCATAATGTATTACCTTGGTATTATATTATAGGAGAAGTAGAAACGTTCTTGAAGAGCGTGTATGTCGAATATGATGATCTGAGCAGGTCCTCTAGCAGCTAGTGGTATAGCTGATAGCATCACAGCTAAACTCTACTGGAGAAAAGAAAAACTATTACCATGTACATGTATATGTATGCGTACATGTACATGTAAATGTACGTCTAGTCGTCTACATAAAAAGGGAATGATCAACTGATGGCCAGGGTTTCCCATTGGATTTTGGCATAGTACTCATGCAGCTTCTTGTCAGTGAATTGTAAGTCCCTGTACTACAGTACAGGGTATTTCACCAAAAATCACAGGAGGAGAATTCTCCATTTTAATAATTTTTCCTGATACATATACATGTTCTTATGGTGTGCAGAAAGTTTGAGCTGATTCCAGTCAAGTTTGGATTTTTTATGAATTTTTAAAGTTGCTCCAAAATTGGACCAAAGTCCCTGTACTATAGTACAGGGAATTTGGTCAAATTTCACCAAAATTGAAAGGGAGAGAATTCTCCATTTTTATAAATTTTTCTGATACATATACATGTTCTTATGGTGTGCAGAAAGTTTGAGCTGATTCCGATCAAGTTTGGATTTTTCATGAATTTTAAAAGTTGTTCCAAATTAGGACACTTAGTATGCTTTGTGGGAAACCCTGCTAGCATGACAGACCTTTGCCGTAACAACTTGTCCTTCATGATCGATCCTCTCCATTGTGCCCGTTGGGAAAAATGGTAAAATAAGACAAAAAGATCTCACAAAATACCTACATAATTAACGAGCTCCACCCATCAATGAATAATTAATGAGGTAGTACCTTGGAAACGAATAAATCAGTGAAAGCTCTTCAAACATTACTTCAGGCGTGTGAAAACTTGCAACAAATATAACTGAAAATAATAATAATAATTATTATTATTCATAATTATTTTTGTGGTACATACCATCTCTCCCAACAACTTGGTCAATGTTGTTAATAAAAATGTCTGGCCAGCCATCACGAAACTTCCTCCATTGAATGAAATCGCATAATTCAACAGACCTATATTGATTCTTCTATAAATAAAAGAAAAAAGAAAAAATGGGTAGAGGGAGGGTTAAAATTACATGTTTGGGCAGTTTGGCTTCCCTACGGCCGAGATCAACGACATCCTTTGCTAGTTTCTTCATGGAGGGATGATAAAACACCATCACTGGCTTCCAGAATAAAGACTGGCTGGAGGTATCCACACTGAGGGAACGATGAACGAGAAGGCTGCCTTGATTCTCCATGTTTTCTCCTTCCGCCATTTTGTTTTAGATTTCCGCCAAAATTTAAATTGGATATGATAGAAATAGAATTAAAATTTTAATTTTGATAATAATATAATATGTCTAATAATAATAATAATAATAATAATAATAATAATAATAATAATAATAATAATAAATGCTCTAATATTTCTGCAAGTCAATAATTTGTAGCGGATGAAAGCGATTTTTATTACAAACAGAGAGATCATGTGACCTCAAGTCTCATGCTCAACAAAATGACGTCTAAGGAAGAGGAACAATGACTTCGACACAATTAGCTGGAAAGTTTCCAAATTCTCCCGTAGTTACGTTTTCTCCCATGTACATATTCTTTGCTTCATGAGATAATAAGATAATCATATCACCAGTCTAGGAAGGGAAAGAGAGAGAGAAAGAAAGACAAAGAGTCACTTGAATCCTTCAAAACTATAATTATATTAGGATCTACATTTATCTCATTTCTATACCTGTACTCTCATTTCAAGGGATGAAGCTGGCTCAAAGTTACGTATTGCCTTAGCTTTAGGCATCAGATCTGAGAGCTCTTCTGATTTAACCTTCTTTTGCGATTTGGGGGCAGCAGCTGAAACAAAAACAAAGTAAAAGAAGAGACATTCATTCTACAATCATCATTTTCATCAAACTACCGTACATACATGTACATGTACATATACTTATTAAAGATACATGAAATCACAAATCGTACATGTACATGTACATGTACCTTTTGAAACTGATCCAGAGTCTTTGGGTAGGTCCTTTGTAATTTTGACAAAACTCAGTGGGAACATACCCGTCCTATCTCCTACACTCCCATTGCACCACTCGTCATTGATCCATTCAGTGAGTGTTATCTTCTCCCCAGCTTTAAAGGAAAGGTCTCCAAGATTATCGGACACGTAATCAAAAAGCGCTTCACACTCTCCGGTGGGGGTTTTCGGCGGCTCTGGAGTGGGTGTGGCTTCATCAATCTATACATTGAATCACACTTAATTAATATTTTTTAAAACCATAATACTTTTGGTTCTTCTTTTGTCGTCTTCATAGGCAGGGACTCAGGTACGTGGCTGATGAAACCAGACGGGAACATCCCCTCTCTTCCGTCCAGCTGACCGTAAATCCACTCATCACTGACTTTCGATAGTAGCGTTATCATATCGCCTTCCTAAGGATTGAAAATAAGTTTAAATTGTATCCCTCCCTCTCTCTCTCTCTCTCTCACTTTGAATGAAAGGTCTCCTTCCTCTCCGTCATAATCAAACAAAGCTTTGACAACGTTTTCATTTTTATTCTCTTCTTCTCCTCCTCCTCCTCCTCCTACTATTCCAACGGGCGTGTCAACTTTCACATCAACAAAAACTTGCGGGAACATCCCACTCCTCCCGTTGGTCATCCCCCTCAGCCAGCTATCGTCAATCCTCTCCGTTATTTCTATCAAGTCTCCGACATCAAACGAGAGGTCATCCGGACTCTCTCCAACAAAAGTCTCGGTTGCAATGCAATAAGGACCGCTAGGGAAAGAAATAATTCCACAAATACTCATAATTAGAAAACGTACTCTGGGATATCGTATTCGGGAGATGCAGGTTGAAGCTCTTCAATTGCATCGGGTGGGAGGTCCTCCTACAGTTAATTAAAAGTTATTAAATATAATATTAATTAAAACGTATCGCTCTATAAATGTACATGTACATGTTACTTACAACAACTTCAACAAAAGATTTCGGGAAGATCCCTTCCTCTCCTTTTAGGGTCCTCCCTCTCAGCCACTCGTCTCCGCCCACTCTTGAAATGAGCATAATAAGAGTACCTTCCTTGAATGAGAGTTCGTCTGAAGACCCTGTGAAGAAAAAACCCAACAAATGGTTTCATAATACACATGTACATGTACATGTACGTCACTTACTTCCTTCGAAAGCTGTCATAGCCACTGCACAGGGACCATCCTCCATCTTAAAAAGAAAAAGAAAAAAATAAGAGAAAATCATACATGTACACATATACTCAATTACATGGACATTATTCTCAATAATACTTTACAGTACCGTACCACTTTATCTTGGCCTGGTAGCCTCTTTATTATCTTCATCTCTTTTGCTAGTATCAATCCTTCCTGCATGTCGTTATCAGCATTACAGGCATAGTACCAATGATCATCAATCTTTTCTATCAGCTCTATAACATCGCCTTCCTGTAAGCATGTAAGAAAAGAAATAGAGAAAGTAGATATAAAGATATATGAGAGAGAAAGAGAGAGAGAGGAGTTCATACATAGTAGGATAATTCATCAGCTTCTGGTGCTTCTTTATTCGTCTTTGCAATCCCGTGAGGATTAGAACACTGTAGTGAGAAAGAAATGTATAATATCATTAGTGTAGCATCTGCTTCAAAATTGGGGCAAAAAGCATGGGCTATATAGTACAGGGTGTTTTGCCAAAAATGGGTAGGAGAAAATTCTCCAATTTTAAATTATAATTTCTAATACATACATGTATTCTGCATGTTCTTATGTTATGTAGAAAGTTTGAGTTAAAAACTACATTAGCCTAATGTCTGCTGGCAATAACAATAGCTAATAATAACCATTAATAACCATTAATAACCATTAATAACCATTAATAACTAATAATAACTATTAATAACTACTCACCACATATCTATATAGTGGGTGGCCTGGTTCAGGGCGAGGAGGTAGAGGAGGAGGAGCATCAGAATCCTATTATCATATCATTATGATATCCTTTAATAACGTAAATGTAACTGACCTCTTTGCTAGCAGTACCTCTACGAGCAGTCGGGACAGGAGGGCCATCCTATCAGGTAGCAGTGTACATGTACATGTATAGCAACGAGTCACTTACCTTATTTGGTGGCTTGCTTCTGGTCGATGGAACAGGAGGAGTGGGTCTATAAAGAGAGAGAGAGAGAGAAGAGATAAATAAATCACAACTTAAGCTGGGCTTAGAATATTCTTATTGCAGCCAGAAGTGCTGTATATCACAAAGGCTTAACACAATAACAGTTTAGGTTTCTATTTGGGAATTAAACAATTGCGCTACATACATGTACACGTACATGTACATGAACTTTGTCACAATACAATATGTCTTACTTAGGAGGTGCTGTTCCAGGGGGTCTGGCTGGCTTTGGTTTAGGTCCCTGACCAGGTCTGGAAGGGGGTGGAGCCTTAGTGGGGCCACTAGTTGGTCTGGTAGGTGGGGCATTAGAGGGTGTGGCACTGGATAAGGAACGAGGAGGAGGGGGCTCCTCGGTCTTGTCCTCATCCTTAGATTTAGGAGGTGGTGGACGTGGTTTAGCTTGAGGAGGTGGGCGGGGTTTAGCCGGTGGAGGTGATGTTTCCCTAACAGTAGGTGTGTCTGATGGGAGTGGCTCTTCACTACCAGCGTCCGTTTTACTTATACTTCGTTTTGGTACTACAGGAGGTTTTTTAGGAGGTGGGCGTGTTGCCACTACTGGGGGCGTGGCCTCTTTCTTAACTTCATCTTGTATGGGTTCAGTGGGTGTAGCAGTTTCTACATTAGTGGGTGTGGTCTCGGTCTCTTCAACGCTACTCACACTCGGTATTTTCTTAGGGCGTGGCTTTGGCTTCATTGGAGGCTGGGCTTTGACCTCACTGCCACTATCCTGCCTTGGTACTGGTTTGGGTGGTTGTGGCCTAGAAGGGGGCGGAGTCTTTTCTGCATCCTGATCATGATCATCATCCGATTTTGTTTTTGGAGGCAGAGGTCTCGGACGAGAAGTGGGCGGAGTTTTATTTTCTTCCTTGCTTTTCTCTGGAATGGGAGGGGCAGCTTTTGGAGGTGGAGGCCTCGAACGAGAAGTGGACGGAGTTTCATTAGTTTCCTGAGGAGGTGTGGCCACTGGAGGCAGCGGTTTAGAGCGAGGAGTAGGTGTGGCCTTGACACCTTCATCTTTACTGATCGTCCTTGGCAACGGTGGCCTCGGGCGTGCTGTAGGAGCGGCAGTGGGCATGGCCTTATCTTCAGTCACCTCCTCTTTCTTGACTTGAGGGGGAGGCGGTCGCGGTCTTGAACTCGGTGGCTTAGTTGGAGGTGATTTCTTGGGTGGAGACGGAGAGGTCTTAGAATCGGTCAGTTTCGGTTGAGCACTCGGACGCGGTGAGCTCGGCACTGGAGGAGGCGTGTCTTTAGAACTAGGCATGGCCTCTCCTAAACTGGTTTGACTGGTTGAGGGTGATACTTCAGCGTAAAGATGAGTCGGTGACTCCACTTCTTCCCTCGTTTCTTCTTTTCCTTGAGTGGGCGGAGGAAGAGGACGAGAAGTAGGAGGCGGTCTCGAACGAGATGTGGGCAGGGCCGACGGACGAGAGACAGGAGGAGGAGGAGCTTTATGAGTTGGGACTAAACGCTTATCCGACTTGGCACCAGAAACCGGCTCAATAGAATCAGCCGAGGATTTACTGAGTGTTTTACTAGAAACTGGCTCAGTATACTCAGAGGCAGGAGTAGGAGCTTGAGGTATCATATACTCTACTTCAGGTGTTGTACTATTAGCTGGAGTAGGGATGAGTGCTGTGTACTCTGAAGGAGCCTCGGTGCTTGGAACGGGAGGAGCTTTAGATTGAGGAGGTGGTGGGCGTGTACGACCGGCAGGAGGGGGAGGAGCCTTACGTACATGGGGACTACCTGTAAAGGAAAGGTAAGAAGGAGAAAATAATTTATTACTCTTATACAACGTTTACACTACAGAAGTGGGCCAAACTGTGCTGAGCCAGGCTGAGCTGGCCCTGCTGTACTAATCATGCTGGCCTGGTTTGGCCCAGCTCACTTCAGCTCAGTTTGGTTACTGTTTACACTATCAAATGAAACTGTGCTGGCCCACTTTAAACAGGGCTGGCTCAGTTAAAGAAACTAGTGTAAACACAGTATAAGAATTGTGTGGATTTGGCCCTCACTAATTTTATTTTAGCTGTGTAAATTTTAAGCAATAAGCATATCACTTTAACTTTTAAAAAATCCTTAATAAAGCTATGAGAATACATTGTACCTGTACCTATACATGTAGTAATGTACATGTACAATACTTTACCTCTTGATGGACGACGTTCAGTTATATCCTTAGGACTACTAGACCCTTGATCATCCTGCCCTCCTCTTAAAGGGAGAGGAGGTGACCCTCGTACTGGTTTAGGTGGAGCTGGACCTCTTTTAGGGAGTGGCTCCGATTCTTTATCAAGGATTGCCTTGGAAACGGGCGGAGACCGATTCGGTTTAGGAGGCGGAATCTTTACTTCAGTGGGAGGCTCAGGAGGAGGCTCTGTTGGCATGGGAGGGTCGGTCTAGGGAAAAGTAAAATCTGGTACCAATGTTTGAGAACATGAAGTATTTAAATTCTGGGTGACACATCAATACGTGTACATGGTATATAAAATTCTTGTTACTGAATGGGACTTAAGTTATTACAATTCTCAAATGAACTACAAATGGTGTATGTCAAATTGCCAATTAGAAATTGAAAGAGACTACAATGCATTGGGAAAAACTAATAATTATACACCACTTACTGTAGGCGTGGCTGCTTTTGCAGGTGGAGGAATGACATCTGATGTCATTGGCTGGGCAGAAACAACAGTAATATCCATCCTAAGAGAGAGAGAGAGAGAGCATATATACATGTAATTAATACTTAATAGTAATAAAGAGTACATTGACACAATGTATGTGCTCTTGATGCAATTAAAGATAATTAACATTCTTAAGGCATCAAAAATGTTGTACAAGTACATGTACAGTGTACATGTACTTCATGAATCATTAGAACAGATTATTAGTCTAGAACAAATTATTAGTCTAGAACAAATTATTAGTTACTTTTTAGATGACGAAGCAGGAGGTTTGCTAGGTCGACCTGTACAAAGAAAAGAAGACAAGAATAGAATAAGGGAGATGAATCAGGTCATTATGATTATGCTCAAATTAAGATGAGTCGTACTTGCTGGTGCTTTTGCTGGACGAGGAGCTGGTGGACGAGATTTGGGAAGAGCCTGTCCTTTATCAGCTTCATCTTCGGCACCATCAGACAACTACATGTACACAATACATGTACGTTAATACATGTAATAGTGAAACTTGTAAATAAAACACATTTTGGACACCAACAAAGCAGCTTTTGTTAAAGAGATGTTTTATAAGGTGCATGTACATGTACATGCATGATAAAGTTTTTTTCAATATTAGAATTATCACCGGAAGTAATCCAATAAATTCAAACAATTCAAACTATCAAAACCTTCGCCTACACAAAGCTAACAAATACGTATACAAAGGAACACGTTGCATTTGAGATAATGTGTACCCCCACATACTTTGGTGGCCGAAGGTCTTTTTGTATAAGGTGCAGGAGGGGGCGGGGGCCCACGCCCACTTTTAGTCTTCGTCAATTCTGTAGGACTCACTGGAGGTATGTCCTCTGGTGCTGGACGAGGTGGGATTGGAAGCTCTGAGGATAAAAATGGCTATAAATATGGATGAGAGACTCTCTCTAACCTGTTTGTACTCCAGCAGGTCCTGTTGAAGGGCGGGATGGAGGACCGCCTGGTTTTCGACTAGGGACGTATGCTTTAGGTGGAGGAGGTCTGGAGGGCTCCGCCATTGCTTTCTCTCAGTCTCTGTTAGGCTGTAGTTTTTAAAAGCATTTCACAAACATTCTCCTTCAGAAGAAAATGGGCGAGTCTTTTAGAATTAGGCGACACGCCCTTCAATTGAGATTACATCACGTGACTCGAGTAGATAGCCCACGTGTTCTCACGTGTCCCTGCCAAAGGAGGAGACTCAGGAGAGGCTGGTTACAAAAATAAAAATGGCGTCTGACAGGCATTCTTATAGCAAAGCTGAGGGCAAACCGAAAATCCGAATTCAAGTACAATAGCCTTATTATTATCTATGGAATATGTATTTGTTATAGTTAAATGAAGAAGAGAAAGCTGTCTTAGTGGAATGTAGAAGGAACTCCCTTATTAGAGGCACGTAATAACAATAATAATTAATAATGATGACAATAATATATTTGTATATTAGGAGCAGCGGTGGGTTTGGGTAGTATTTTAGGATTAAGATACCTCATGTCGCAAGGTAATGGTTAATACTAATCCTGATATCTTTTAATACAATCACCTTATGTCATTCTTTTCCAATTTTTCATTTCCTGATTTTCCTCTCCTAATAATTAGGCAAAGTTCCTGCACACGTGATGCGGTGGCCTGTCTTCTATTATTCCGGTGTATTTTTCCTAATGGGCATGCTTGGTGTATCCTCCTACAGGAAGAGATGTTTAGATAAACTAATGGCACTTGAGAACTCGAATCTTGCCAACATGATGAGAGACATCAAGGCAGGGTAAGTCATGTGACTTCATTATCATGTGATACAACCCGATATTAGGAGGACACCGAATTTTGAGAATAGGACAGGTGAGATATTGGCCCATGGCTACTTTATGAATGTGAATTTGTGACTTTTTTAGATAATTTTGAGAGAAAAGGGGCCTTAAAGGGGTATCCTGATACTATAATCGATAAAGATGAGAGCCAAGTCTCTTCATTGTTGAAGAAAGAGGATGAGAGTGAGAGAGGCATATGCTATGGTAATTCTATTATATTTGTTTCAGATGCTTTCCCTGCTGTCAGCAGCAGCTCAAAGCAACCGCCTTTAATGGGAGACTTCTATAATGATAAGAAAAGGTATACACAATCTGTTATTATTATTATTATTATTATTTGTTTGTTTGTTTGTTTGTTTGTGCAGTGATGACAAGAAAGGTAAAACTTTTGATGAGATAAGAGAAGAGAACAGAGCAAAACAAATGCAGAGAAGATACCCTCAAAGAACCAGAGAAGACGAGGGACAGCAGACACGCCCACAATCTACACGAAAAAGTGAAGGTATACTAGTATTAGCAAAAGTACATAACATTAGTACTCTTGCTATTAGTATGGTAAGGTATTAGTGTTTGCACTACTTTCATAGTAGGAACCAATGTATCTAGACCAGTGAAGAGGAATGAATACGGTGACATTGTTTATGATGATAAATGATGAAAGGGACTCTGGACTACTTCGCTCTTTCATTTCAAGAATTAAGAACTCAAACATTTTTGTAGGAAACTAGAATAAGCAGATACTTTATTATTATTATTGTTATTATTATTATTATGTTAAAAGAGCATAATGTATGTAGCTGTATAGCAATCGCAGGCAGTAGATTTCAATAAGATAATAATTTTTATGTGAAAAAGCTTCATAAATGTAATAAAAAATAGGATAAAATATATAGTCCTTTACTAAATAATACAAAAGCTTTATAAAAAGTTCCTTATAAACACTAAAAAATCTAATATCTTAAAACTAAGTAAGTGAGAGTGTCCAAAAACACAACCAAATCAAAACAAGTGTGACTATCCATTAAAAAATAAGTTAGACTCAAAGAGAGGTCTCACACCTATCCCCAGTATAAGCAGGAGGACACTGACAGATAAACTGCATGTTATAGGTCACTGGATTGGGATGAGGAGTGCAGGTACCATTGTTCATGCATGGATTTGTTGTACAGTCATTGAAATACTGACAGTTGGAGCCAAAATAGTTGTCAGGACATGAGCACATTAGCTGTGGTGTATCTGTGCAAGTACCATTGTTAAGACAAGGGGAAGAGGAACAGGTACGTGATGGGCAAGGGCCAGTGACAAAATCACCCATTGTATCAGCACCGAGTTCCTACAGAGGAGACAAAAAATTTAAAAAGATTATTATACATTGTTATAGACAGGAAAAAACTGGGCATCTTTCATGATTTATATCACATTGTGTGAAGCAAAAAATCAATGCATATGTAATTTTATTATCATTACCTGCCAGTAAGCTGGATTAGATGCATTAGTACCAATGTAACACAGGTTGGGGTTGAAGAATGATCTGACTACATTAACCCTCCTTACTCCACTGAGACCATCAATGTTAGTCAGAAGTGGGTTTTGTATGATGTTAATCATATCAGCATCACGTAAGCTATTGAAACCAGTGATACTCCTCAGAAGCTAAAGAAAGAAAAAAAGAACTTAAATTATCTTTCTACCACCCACCCCCCTCATCTCTTCCTCTCTTCCCCTTTTTCTTACATTGTTTCTATAGAACCATATACTAGTAGCACGGTACAGTGAAGTGAAGGATGTTATGGTAGACATACTGATACCATTCAATATAATGGTCTCAGCAAAGACAATGTTATTAGTACCAGACATGTCTCGTAAATTAGGGCAATTTTGTATCGATATAACATCTAAGAAAGTATCATAATAATAATAATAATATCATTATAATTAATAATAATAGAACTTACTGGTAACATTCTCAAATATTCTAAGTCCATCAAGATCAACTAGTGCAGGATCATTATGAATACCAATGCTGTGTACATTGGTCCTGTAGTCTGGTGGTAGGTTGGCTCCAAGATCCTCCAGTGTTACCAGATTCTGTGCATTATTAATGACTAGTTCATTGATTGATGCAAGGTTCTCAAGCCCCTTCAATGATGTGAGATCAGGCTGGTTCTCAATAACAAGAGATGAAAGAGACTGTGAAATAAAATAAAAGAAAGAGAGAGGAGAAAAAGAAAGAGAGAGAGAGAGATAAAGAAAAGAGAAAAAGAAATTATTCTTAATTGTTTTTGTAGTAAGATTGAGGGGGTGGTGATTTTTTGATCCAATTTATAAACAAAAACGACAGGTAACATTTTAAACCGGCCAATTTTAATAATGGTCTAACTTTAAAATTTTAAGTTGGAATTGGCTCAAAATTTCAACATAGCATAAGGACATCAATATGTATCAGAATACATAATAAAAATTGGGGGTAGCTTTTGAGCCATTTTTTGGAAAAAAAGCATGGGCTATACTATAGTACAGGGAATTTTTCAGAAATTGGACATTTTCTAACAATGATCATAATGCAATTATAAGTACCTGAACATTGACCAATGAAGATAGATTTGCTACACCATCAAACTCCAAAGTCAAACCAGATATTGCAGTACATACTGTCAGTCTGTCTGATGATAGCTTCGATGGTACTTTGATAGTACTGCCCATTGAGTACATGGTACAGGTTCTGTTGAATGTAACAATAAGGGTCCCTGCTAAGCTTACAGCTTCGTCATTATCAGTAGCTACTATTTCAATGTATCTATGTAAAATAAAACACAAGACGATAATACATAGCTTCTTTCTCTTTTCTTTGATTATCTTCCCCTCTCTGTTTCTTTCTCTCTAATTCTCTCTTACCTGTTTTCAAAAACATTTGGTTGGTTTTCAAGTAAACTGCTCATGCGTGAATAAGAATAAGTTAATGTTCTCAATGCATTGTTATAGTTAACCGAACTGCTTGTTCCCTCAAGTAAAATGTATGTTGCATTACTAGATGGATTCTGGAAATTAAAAAACAAACAATAATTACAAGTTCTTCATAGCAAATTGCAAATGTACATGTACTGTATTATTAACAATCACATTATGACATACTAAAGTTATTCCTGATATTCCAGTTAGTGACAATGATATCATCTCACTATCGGTGTGAACAGGGTTAAGGAGATGAATTGATATTTGAGATATCATGTTAGAATCGTCTGATACGACGACACTAGTTGACACCTGTAACTCTGTTTGACCATCAATCACGGATACGCTACCAGACGACTAAAAAGTAAAAGATTATAATAATAATAGTAAACTATTTTCTCTTCTCATTTCCATCCCTACCTCTCCATCAATCAGTACTCTGGGTCTACTATTTCTGAATGTGACGTCAATAAAACTGTATGCTGGTTTGCTCACAAAATCACCATCGCTTACAGTTACCATGACAACAGCGGAGGAGCCATTGGCACGGTCAGAAGAAGGTCTGAAGTAAATGTGATCCCTCAAGAGGTTCTGGAAGAAGAGAGAGGGCAGAGAGCCAGATTGTGTGATATAGAAAGAAATTGGAGTGAAGGAGATAATGAGATCTGAAGGAATAGGAGTACTGCAAGAACAAGATGGTGAAGAAATACTAGAAAAGGTAAAAATGATTTCATCACCATTTATTATTATTATTATTATTATTATTAATTATTATTATTATTTTTTTTTTTATTACTTCAGGTAGCATGTTCCAGTAGGCGTTGAAATACTGCAAGCTCCTACATCAGAAACTATTGCATCACCTTCAGTAGACAAAACCAGAGTGATATTCATGCTCAGTATAACGCTGTTAGAATCAGAATCAGTGACACTGGTATATTCAGCATCAGCAATCTTGACTTGATTCACAGCTTGATACTCCCAGACAACAGAAGTTGTGTAGTTGATTCCATTTGATTCAAGACCGTTGAGATCAACTATCGGAACGTGATCATTGATCAAAATCATGTTAATTATGATCGAGCAGCTGACAGCTGTTGATGGGTCTGGCTGATGGAGAATGACTCGTATCTGTCGTATAGCAGAATTTGGCTCCTCTTCACCATTAAAGAATATTAATAAACGAAGAAAACTCTGGAGAGAGAGAGAAGATAATAGATAATGTTATTATAAATTTATTTAAAATTCAAACCTGATATTCAGCTGCAGTTCCATTTCCCTCTATCCTCAGTGAAGTATCATTAACCCCTACTGTAACATGCAATCCACTCACTGCACTCTGAGGTAGACTAATAAAGTCACCACTGAACCCGTTAACAATCATCACATCAGCTCCGCTAATCACATGATCAGAGTCAAGATCACTAACGCTGACAGAGGGCCCAATAAAAATGGCTTCCCCGGACCCCTCAGTGAATTGGTTAGTCTGTCCATCACAAGTGAGTATCAGTGGGTTATCATTAATCAATGAGACTGATACTGTGCTTTGTATTATATCACTACTGAATATGCCATCATTTACTCTGTACTGGATGGATCTGTTACCCATTGATGGCTCAGGTGCTGTGTTAGTGTAGGTAATGGTAGAGAGGATCTGTTGATAGATTAGTAATGGAGCAGGACCAGAGATTGTAATACTGTGTGGAGTAACTGTATGAGAAAAAAAAGAAAAGAATAAGCTAACCTCAGCTAAATGTTACATATTCACATTAGGCTTTATTGTATGAGTACATGTACAAATGTATACGTACCTGCTGCATTTGAACCATTTGGCAAAAAGGACATACTCAAATTCAACTTCTCACTAGTACCATCAAGAGCTCCAACCAGCCTAACAGTAGCTTCATGAATAAAGAATATCTCATTATTATCATAGTCAGTGATCACTGGCTGATTGATGGCACCAACAGGTAGGACTGTAGCAGAACCAGCTGCCTCAGTAAAAACTGCTTCAGTATTCCCTCCAAAACTGAGCATTGGAGGATTATTGTTGATAGGTATTACATTGATGATAGTGGATACAGATGAAGAAGGGAAGGCTCCATTAGTAGCAGTAATTGTTAGTTCCCTGGGGCCTGGCAATGGCTCAGAATCATTAATGGTTGTATAAGAATATGACAATGAGTCAAGAATAGCCTATAGGAAAGAAAGAAAGTTTATTTTATAGAAAAAAAATACATAAACATTCCCATTTCTAAATTACTATCTTTTCTTTTACTTACCTGATAAGTTGATATACTGTCAACAGTAGTGATACTGATAGTATCAGAGCTTGTTATGACATCACCAAATGCAGTGACAGATATTTCCTCATCCCCCAGACTATCACTCAATGATATATTAAGACTATATACTTGAGCTCCCTCATCAGGATCGTACAACAGGAAGCCATACAGTTCTATAGTCGTGTTCCCTTCATAGAAAGGAAATATCAACATAGTTCCATTTAATTGTAGTGGGTTATCGTCCACAGTTAAGACACGGATGGTAAGAGTGGTCTGTGTAGTGAATGCTCCATCAGATACAGTAATAGTCAGTGTCCTGTTACCAAGAGTAGGCTCTGATGCTGTATTACTGTAACTTAGTGAACGAATGAGCTCTTGATAATTAGAGACTGAGGAAGGTCCCACGAATGATAGCTGGGTCTGACCACCACTAGCTTCAAAATAAATTCCAGCCGGTATCAGGCTGGTGTCCACAGAGAGTGACTCATGCCCACTGTCTCTTATATCACCCGGTGTTAAGATCAGTGTTGCATTGTGTATAGGGAAATCAGTATCAAGATCAGTTAGAGTGAAATCAATGATCATTGAGATTAGTAAGCTACCACTCCCTTCTCTATAGTCAACCATTGTAGCATTGGTAGCTATGACTGGAGCATTGTCATTAACAGTGATGACATTAACAGAATAGTTCAGGCTATACATAGGGCACTGCTCCGATAACAGTGCTATACTACCCAAACGAAGACCTTTGGTTGGTTCTGGGACAGGGTTTTCGTACCGTAGGGTCCGGAGAACATTTTGATAAGTGGCAATAGATGCAGGACCACTTATTTCAATAGCACGACCATTAGACAAAGTCATATCTTGAACCATCAGTGGGAGGCCAGTTGTATTGACAGTTAGCCTTTCTAGACTGTTTCCATTTAATAGTGTTACCTGAACACCAGAGATGATTTGATGAGAAATATTATGTTGATCAGAATCAGTTAGCATCAAGCCTAATCCCAGCCCAATATCAAGGTAATGATCGCCTTCGGTGAAATCAATTTGAGACAAAGATGATGTAATCACAGGACAATTATCATCAATGACACTAACAGTGATGTTAATGGCTAGAGTATTGGAATGATGGACTCCATCAAAGACTGATAGTTCAACCATCCTACCACCAGGATACGGCTCTGAGAATCCATTGAAGTAGTGGAGAGAAGAGAGGAGAGACTCATAAGTTGCAGGTGATCCTGCACCACTGATAGTAATAGTAGACGTATTAGTAGAGTATGATACAGAGAGTGAATTGTATAGTGACTTGTTTAATGCAAGGCCTTCACTGCAGTAATAAAAGCAATCAAAATCGGATGGGCAAGCAAAAGTATGTTCATCATCTTGACAGCTAGTCTCTACTGATAGTATTATCAGAGCTTCTTCTATATTGCTTTGGAGTAGATCAGGCTCGATGAGTTGCAGTGAACTGGTAATGGATACAAGGCCAGCCTCTTCTGTATAAGTATAGCTGGATTGGCTGATGACTAATATGGGTGACTCATCATTGCTATCTGTGACTGTAATGAGGAGATGAGAGGTTCCAGTTAGTCCTCCACCATCACTAGCAACGAGTGTTAGATTATAACTACTGACGGTCTCATGATCCAATGGGCCATTGACTCTAATCATTCCGTTTGAAGGCATAATGGTAAAAGCTTCACCCACATTCCCACCTACTATTGCGTAAGTGACTGTTCCGTTTTCACCCTCGTCAGGATCTGTGGCTGTCACCGTCGTAACAAAAGTGTTAACAGGATAAATTTCTGGTATGGATTCAGTATAAATGCTTTGAGTAAACGATGGTTGATTATCGTTAACGTCCAGTATACGCATGTTAACAATGACATTGGACGAATGGAGGCCATCGGATACACTAACTACCAGCACGCAGTTTGACAGTGACTCACGATCGAATGGCTGCAATAGACTCAATACACCATCCCCACTGCTAATGGCCACAGCACCACTCAAGCAAGAGCTCAGTAGAGAATAGTTCAATGGATTGAGGACTTCAATACTATTATCAGGATCTTGTGCTAAGACTGTAAACTGAGGTTCCACTGTGTTCTCATATACAGTGAAATTATACACTTGATTTAGGAATGAAGGTGGATTATCATTGACATTAGTAACAGTTATATTAACAACTGCAGTGGATACTTGCTCTTGTATACCAGAGTCTCGTGCTAGTACATCAAAGACTATTGATGTCTCTGTTTCATAATCCAACTCTCCCACTAGACTAATGACACCAGTGGTAGCATCAATGATGAAGGTAACTGTCCCAGTTATCTCATACACTATACGCGAGTTAGAGCCTGAATCAACATCACGAGCTTGAACTGTAAGTATAGTTGATCCGAATGAAGCATCCTCTGGTACTGTAGCTGGATACATGTCTTGACTAAATACTGGTGCATTGTCGTTAGCATCAGCTACATTAATGGTCACTGGTACATTAGACTGGCGGGATGGGGTACCAGAGTCTTGGCACGTGACAATAAAATCAAACATTTGTTCTTTTTCGTAGTCCAGTGCCATCGTTAGTGTGATGACTCCGGTTGATGAGTTAATGGTGAAAGGTAAAAGGCTTTGACCACTGCCTGACATATCAATGATATCTCTTAGTGAGTATGTTAAAGCAGAGTTGATGCTTGATACGTCTGAATCGGATGCTGACACAGTTAAAAGTGACTGACCAACAGGAGTGTCTTCAGATACATTCAACTGGTAAAATGGTAAGTCAAACAATGGTGCATTGTCATTGATATCAATAACGACAATGGATACTGGAGCTGAGCTGCTCTGTACAACAGATCCATAAGAGTCCTCAGCAGTTACATTGAAAGATAAAGCAGTGGTTATCTCAGCATCAAAGACAGCAGCCGTTAGTATGACACTGGTACTCTGGTCAATGGTAAACCGGTCAGCATCTTTACCACTTATGTAATAGGTTATCTGGTTGCTAGGGAGGTCCCCATCACTAGCGGCAACAGAAACACCCACGCTAGTACCAACAGGACTGTTCTCATTAATTTGACCACTGTA